AACAGAAGTAGTGGTGACAATGGAAATGTGATTCAAAAATTGGAGCAGCACTCTGATTCGTTGTCAATGCTAGTCAACAACTTTTAATTAGCATAATCACCAGAGTGATTCAACTCCGGTTTTCAATTCAACTTGGGGGGGCGTCTGCAGATGCATTCAGCCAGGATTTCTTTCGCAGTAACGCTTGTTTTCGCGATCACGCTAAAAGGGCTAAATTGACAATTATTTCTTTTTGTAAGACAAAAATGAAGTCCTGACTTTGCCAGTCTAAACATTCCCTAATGTGGACAATGAATTTACAAGTATAACAGTAGAAACAAACATCTGTAGTCAATTATTTTAACAAGCTTACCTGATTATAAATGTAAGAGATTCTCTTGGGACCTCCCTTGATAGAAAAAATTTACAGTTTGAAAACAAATTTTTCAATGCCTTCAATTTTTCTTCCTCTTCCTTAGCCTTTTCTATCATTTCTGGATCATCAGACTATGGAACAAATACATTGTGAATACTTGTTATCAATGTCATCAATTCAATACTAAAATTTATACAAATTATAGTTGTGTCAGTGTGTATCACAATTATTGGTAATGAGAAGATCAATAGCAAGACTAAAATGTGTAACTGAAACACAGTCTTGTGGCTTATAGTACGATAAAACTTACTCCTCCTGCTGGAAATTCATCTCCCTGTACTTCATCTTCTCCTGTATCCTTAGCAACTGCTGCTAAGGTCTGTGATAGAGCAGCTAATCTCTGCTCTGTAACTTCAGTGCCTAAACAGTAGGCAGAATCGCCTTGACCGAGTCCTTCTGATATCGTTAACTGAAAGTATATCAAGACAAGCCATGCATGACACAGTCCCCGTTGCGTTATCGAGTTTAAGATATATAGTTTTGTTTATAGTAATATAGCTGGAATATAAACATGTCAGGAATAGGAATAGGATTATGATGATTGTTTAATATTAAAATGATTTGCACTAAACAAGTATTGAGAGATATTGATGTATGTGTGAAATTTGAATGTGACCAGTCTAGGCAGTAATATGCTTCCAGAATTGTATTCGTTAAAACATCAAAGTGCCATTACGTTAAATGTATGTTGTGGGGTTATGATTAGTGACTGGGTTATATCCCAAAATAAGTAAGATATGCAAGGCTATGCAAACAAATCAATCACAAGAAACGTATATGTAAGTATTAAACGCATAGAGTAATTCAATACGTTAATAGAGTACATCCACTGTTATACCGGAGACCTTACAAAAATGTTAGTAATACATAAACAGAAAGGATACAACGGAGTAAAGGCACGTCCTATTTATAGGCTCAGTAGGATACTAAGCCCGAGGTGGGAATGTCCCTAATTGGCCAAAAGTTAACATTACAGAATGTATGTACAAAACAATTTCGTAGACAGTTTAATAAGAAACAAAACATGTTGACCTATGACCTACCTTGGGTGGATAGTGAAGATTTATTGAGTGGTACATCCTAAAATTTACGAATCCTAACAATGTATTGTAAAATTCAATAAAAGTAGCCATTACTTTGAAGTCTACATCTTTTGGTTTCTATAAAAAAAAGCAAAGTTTTTATAAAGGTCATGTATTAAATATTACTAAAACGATACACAAGACTTTAGTCCCTTTAATCATACTTACAGTATATGCAAAGTGGTGAGGCACAAGCCATGTGACCTTTTGACCTTGAATTTCAACCTGATAGTAGATACCTTTGATGGAAATAAAAACCTAGAAATTGAACAAATATTAATATTTAAAGATTTCTGAGATGTTGTATATATGGAGTGAACTGAACAAGTCAAAACCAAATAATACTGTACTTGATCGTGTTAGTGATTTTTTAAGGCGAGCATTCTGCACCCCCCTGGAAAAGAGTGCAAATGACAATTTTAATTCACCATGTGAAAGATTGAGGTGGATATTAGTCTTTGAGGGAAATAAAATTACGAAATTAGGTGCGTTGGCATTGAATTTTACAATGAAGAAACAGAAATGGTCACAGAATATATGCACATTTTATTACAATATTAATTAGGTACCACTTGAATTTGCAAGGTTAAAAATATTAGAGTCTGTCGGAACATAGTCTAAATCTTCATCATTATCTCCACTGACTAATGTGTTGGACCATATGCCAACCCTCGATGAAAAGCACTTTCCGCCATGATGTATTTGCATGGTTTGACCTACAACAACGTTTTTTGACCTAATGGGTCAAGTCGGTTATTAACCAATCAAAATGCCATGTTGTACCAACACAATTCAATGCAATGCGGAAGTGAATTATTGATTGAAGTTGGAATTGATTTCGGCGAATAAACGACATGGTTTTTTTCAAAAAATTGTTAACTAGCAATTTTTGATAGGTAAACTGAATATGGCATGAAATATTTATTGCATTTTACTTTTATTACCAGGTCATTGTCAAAGCTAGTTTATGCACAGTTACCGTGGTCTATGCATTCACAACACAGCAGTTGATATTCACGGCAGTTGATATCCACGCTGTATCATATAACGATTACTATCATTCGTTAAGCACTGATCAAAGACCAAGTTTTAAATTAGTGGCATTTTGAAGGAGTGGTGGCACTTTGCCGAAAGTGACCCCGAATATAAAAATTGTGCAAAAGTGGGGGTGAGCGTTTGACCAGGCATGGGTGCTAACGCGGTTGAATATGGTATACTCCACTCTGGGAGTAGCTGTCATCACATTTCTTATTGTTTTGTTCTATAGCAAACAATATAGCAGCAAATACTCATATTCAAAGAATGGACTAAACTATGATAAAACAACTTTGACATGCTCATGTTGTTTTTTAAAACCAAAAATAGCTGCCAATTGGTCAAAGGTATATGTAAGACCATGACTTGTCTTTGGGAAAGGACAGTCAAACACACGAAAGGAAGTTCCTCATTCCCATGTCTTTTTTCATTTGATATTTTAATACCTTTCTGAGAGCCCTTGCAACAATGACATAATGCATGAACTCAATTGTCAGTCGTCTACACAGTTCTATCAATTCCACATGCACTGCTCTGGATCTTGGGAAGGTTGCAAAGAGGAAACACATCGTGAGCGGATCATCTAAATCTCTTATGGCATCAATAAAAGTAGGATACCTATGAAATAAAAAAGACAACATATTTATCCAATATTTCTGAAGTGATTTGTGCTAGCCAGATCATGGCATTTTCTCACAATATCAGGTATTTTGGCATTACTAAAACATTATTAGTGGGGTTATTGTGATGTGGTGTAAACATTTGCATACATTTGTATATTTATTGTATTTCATCACCGAATTACTTGTCGCCACACTGGGTCAGATATAGTAATTAATATTTTAATTATATGACAGACAATTGTGATAATGGAAGTAAGAAGGTGATGTTTGTGTTTTCACACAGTAAGTTAAGACCTACCTAGGTGATAGCTAAAATGTGCGATACATGAAACATTTAGAAATGCACAACTGAAAAGCAATAAATGTGTGACACAATTACGATAAATATTTGACCCAATGCAAAAAAATGGGTGACCCTAACATGAAGGCAACAATATGGACAGGTTACATTCAAAACTGTACTGTAACAATTATCATACTAACCAAATTAAAACTGGTTTTGACTGATACAAAGCCATATATTGATTGGTTTGGCCATAACTATCAACTCTTCTACAGAAAATGTCTCATATTTCTCAGGAAAGATGACGCTGAACTTGTCAACCATCTATTGTTATATTGTTGATACATAAAAAAATTGACTGAAGTTGAGCAAATCACAAGACGTGAAATGCATTCTGGGAAATGACGTCATCAACACAGAAGACCCAGTGCAATGACAGAAAAGATTTTGAAAACACTCACAGAAATTTATCTGAAACTAATAACAAGTTTGTTCTACTAGAAGTGCATGTAAAGTAAAAATTGCATTTGTAATTATTAAATTGTTATTTACTTTGAACATAGAAACATTTCTAATTTATGCAAGCGTACTAATAGAGCAAATACGGTAAGATAAAATTCTTACCTTTCTTTAACAATGTGATCTAATCTGTATACAGGTTTGTTGTTTCGGAGACGTTCAGCTGCATCTGGATCATTTCTACCCAATGCACGCACAAGTTTACGGATAAATACCTAGAAATATAGATAAATGAATAAAGAATCCAGAATAAGAATGAATTTTACAGCAATGGTTTATTAGATTTATATACTGTAGTTGTCCGGGTATGAGCCCAGGGTCCTGAACATGGAAAATTGCCTAAAAATAGGGGTGGGCATAAGCCCGGACATCCCCTGCACAAAATTCATGAAAATTGACAACACGCAGATCAAACTGCGGCAGGGAATAGAACGGCAAATGAAAACATGCAACAGAAATAAATGAACAATATGCAACATTAGAAGTAAAACAAAAATAATTTATTGCTTATAATGTGACAAATAA